TTAATTTATTTTACTATAATTACTAAGTCTAATATGTATTACCTTTATGGCCAGGTGGCTGAAGTGGGTGGCCACTTTTTACACACCACCCCACAGGAAATATATCTCTAGAATCATATGAACACCAATAGTCAAATGCACCTCTCCATCCATCAAATGTAACGAATATATTGTTTTTATTAACATCACCTAATACAATTAATATAAAATAATTTTTTAGTGCATTATTCTTTATTATTTATAAAATATATAAATATAAAAAATAAGTCTACTGAACAAAAATAAGTTAATATAATTAGTTAATTTACCAATAGTTGCCACACAAATTAAATGTGGATTTTTTTTATCAACTGCTTCAATTTTTTGACCAACTTTAAATAAATTGTCAGTAGGAGTATCTGGTTCAGATTTAAAAGCAGTATCGGGCGAATAAAAAGCTCCATTTAGGGTTTTCACTAGGAACATAGGAAATAGTGAACCATTCATACGAAAGCCTAAAAATATATTTAAAACTCAATAACTTACAATAATGTAAACTTTCATCAATATAAATTAAATTAAAATACATAAAATATTATAAATATACCAAGTGGAGGTTGTAACATTCCGCCTTTTTTTTCTGTATAACCAATGGGTTTTAATTCTGAAGAGTCAACTAATCGCCAAAAATCATTTTTATTATCTCCACCATCTAGACGAAGACGTATTCTGGGGCCAACAACTCCTATGACGGTTGCAATACACATAGATGTTATGTTTCGAGGATCCACTGCTTCCAATTTCATACTTGGTTTGAATTCATTTTCCGGAGATACTTCATGCTAAATATAGTAATATTTTATTCTAATAAGTTTTGGAAAATATATGATTTAGAATAAATTTAAGTTTGATGAAATAACATTTGTTTTTTTTTTAAACCTACATTAACTTTTAATAATTGATAGGCGCAAGTATTAAGGTAAAGAAATACTTTTTTTTTACAAAGTATACACTATACAGTATACATATTCATTAAAAATCATTCAAGAGATAATTAACTTTATTTACCTGTTTAAAACAATAAGTAGGAGCTGCTGAGCTTGAAGTTTCTTTAAGATAATTGTCCCAATCAAATACTGGATTACTATGAGCAGAAAATGGATTTTCCACTTGAACATCTCCAAATACAGCTGAAATATTATGTATTTATTATTTAAACATTATACAATTTATATGAACAAATAAAAGATATAAATAGTGAATTATACTATAATATTTAACATTAAAAAAGATTGAATTCATCATTTTTTTGTATTTAACTAGTAATTATAACTTAATTGTACTTGAAAAACTGAAGAACTATAAATTATTTTTTATGATGTATTTTAATAATAGAAATTATAATTAACTACATAATTAATATGTATTGTGTTATGATATTTTTAAAAAATCATAAAATAATCTAAACTATAAACTACGAAGAAAGCAATGTAGTCTTTTATGGTGTATTTTTAATTAGTCAAACTTGTATAATTTTAAAACATGTTTAGAATTAATTTAATATACATGGAAATTATAAAACATATTTTTATATAATACATAACAACTACCTCTCATATAAAAATAAAAAAGTTAAGTTACGGTTTTAAAATGAAATATGTGTACTAACTTTTTTTGGTTTGTTCTTTCCTTTGGTGTTTATTTAAACACGCAGTTGAACAAAAGTTTTTTGGTGTAGAATCGTGATTTTCTTGTTTAACTGGAGAGCCTTTAATTATATTATCACAATTTGCACATCCGTTCTAAAGTAATGGCAACTGAGTTAATTTTAGTTAAATAAATACTAAGATATATATTTGATACTAAAAATATAATTCAAGACTCACACAATATTTAACCTGTAGTGGAATTGAATAACAATTTTTATCTCAATTTTATAACATTAACAAATTGTTAATAATATACAATCAAATATATTTAGTATAATTAAAAGTTTAAAATGCCTATTTGTATTTATTCTTCAAGAAGATAATGAATATGTTCGTACAGTAGCCCGTGAGTTCACAATTTGAATTATAAATACATTGAGTAATATATATAAATTATCTCAATACAAATTAACACGTTGACTATATATGTATTTTTACAGTTTTCACCCAGTGAGTATGATAAAAGTAAAAAAACAGTAGTCTTTTAAAAATAGCATAAATAAACTGCTTCTATATGGTCATACGCCAAAGTATGTGTACATATTCTATGTGGGTCTAATCCACACTAAATAATAATAAAATAACATTCAGCCACGCATAGGGAATAATAAACTATTTACTTTAAGTATAAATTGGACGTCAAACGTGTTGCTGATTGAACCTCATGACGGCAGTTTACCTAACCTAAGCAGTCAACGTGTTAAATTTAATATATACCTTAAATTATTAATTATCCATTGTTATTTTTTATTCTGTTCATAATATTTATATCTTATTTTTTAAATTATTTCTTATCTCATATTCTGTTAATAGTGATATGTTATCTTTCAAGCTGCAATTCAATATATTATATTATATTGTAAATTGTAATTGTCTAAACTAATGGTTCTATACCAATTACGGACTACCAAATATATATAATAAACAAAAAGATCATATTATTTGCAGACAAATTAAAATATATTACAAGCACAGATAATGTTCTTAACTTAAAGTTTGATAATAAGTCAATTCACTTTATTATTATAACAAACAACATTGGTTCTGCTGAACTTAAATAAGGTGTTATACATGGGTTGGAGAGAAAACTTATGTACTAACCTAACTCGTCATCCTTTTAGATTTATGTGTTTATTTATTTTTGAGTTTTATCACTGTTGACCATCTTTTAATTTTAATTATGTAGATGTTATATCTTTTAATATTCTAAGTGTTGTTGATGTTGCTCATTGACACCATACGAAATAATAATAATCCTTTTAGATTTAACCTGGTAGTTAGTCCAGTCATTTTATATTAGATTTTATTTACAAAGGAAGTAAATGTATCAACAATTTGTTTGTATTAAAACTGTAAAAATGATGATATTATTGAATATTATTAATGCAACTATGTTACATTTTAATAATCGTATATACATATGAGAAAGTTTCAGATGTTAAATTACAAAATATTATATAAATATAGACATCAAATAAAATCAAAACAATATATTGTCATGTGGTTTCAACTGCAATCCAGCAGAACTAATTACTATGATATTTAAATAACACATTGGCGACGGGCCTGTTGAAAGCTGTACATCTGTAGAGCAGTGATGAATACAGCAGTACCTACCTAATTGACTAATTCAATAATAACTAATAATACATAATATTGTGTTGCTGGTTCTATGGGTCAGGGCACTAATTATACACAAATTTATTTATAAACTTATGTATACATTATAATTGTTATTTCTCCTTCACAACAATACAACATGGAAACAAATTAAAGATCAATAATCATAATTTTAAAAAATATGTTTTTTTAATTTTAATTTTAATTTTTTTTTTATGCATTTAGTTCCATTATTACTAGCCTCACTACTATGGTATAACAACATTTTACTGTTATCCTAAATAGCTGATTAATTAACTAAATTACAATTATTAAAATAATTACCTTGACATATTCTTTTCGAAATTCTGTAAGACAATTGACAGAGCAAAATTCTTTTTTTCCATTTTGTGTAGGTAATACATAGTTTAAAGGATGTTTTGAGTCATTGCACATAGTACATGTCGACTTTGCCTTTGGAGGGCGACCTTAAAAATGTAATATATGAACTAATTAAAGTATTATTTTTTTTAGATATAGGTACTGATACGTATTTTATAAAGTAGTATCTTAAAAAAATCGTAATTTTAAGAATTTCTACTTAAAATGGAAATTTATTCCTAGTTTAAATTAAAGTACACTGAGTTTTCTTTGAAAAAAGAACTACTCAGTGTGTTTACTCAATACATTTGATATTAATAAGTACAATATAACTGAGACATACCCCTCATCTTGTTGGTTTGCATAAGTATAAAATTAAGTCCAAATTAGTTCTTAATTTTCTATTTTAACCTAGAATATAAAAACAAACAATAATATATTGTTAACATAAGGTTAAGTATATATAGGTACGTACATAAAATAAGTTTAAAAACATTTGAAATTTAACAAATTTAATATAATAGGTATAATCAGAGGTTATAAAAATGTATTTATGTACATATAGCAATAAAATTTCAGTTGGTAATTTCATTATTTTATCTGAATCTTGTTTATATTAATATATAGTATATTACCATATTCATAGCTATAAGAAAATAATAAATGACTGATAAAATAAGTTGGGTACTTAGGTACTCAAGTTTTTTTATTACATTAGATACGATAATAAACAACCTATTTACAAAATTGAATATGAATGATTATAATAAGATATGTAAGTTCATAAAAGTTAGTATTATAACTATTAATTGGCTATTGACAAATTCAATTAATATGGATAAACTTTTTATTTGATAATAGACATTATGTTTCACAGCTAAGAGAATATAAGATTTTAAAAAAATGTAAGTTAATAAGAACCAAAATATACAAATATTTGTTATTGATTGAATATTTATTTCTTAATTATTCTCTAAAATAAAAACATTAAATAAAACAAACTTACTTTAGTTTTACTTGCATAAAAGTTTTGAAGTAGAACAACTAAACAGTAAACTAGGACAATTGTTTTTAAAAGTTGATTAGATTTAGATAAATAGCATTATCGGCTTTTTAAGAGTAGTAAGGAAAACGTCAACAAAAGAACTTGGTCCGCCATTGGCCGGATATGAAGATAACAGTGGTTTACAAAATGCAAAGCTTACAATATCACGGTTGGAAATACAACCGTGGTTTACTTTAATTTATGAATAGAGAATACCGCGGACAGCTGATATATGTGATGAATCCAAATTATAAATATCATGGAACAAAATAATTTTATTAATGTCAGCTCAAACACAGAATAATAATCTGTGGATACAACTGTGGATTTTAAATTTTTTGTGAATTTTGGAGATAACTGATAACATTTTTATTTTTTTTATCACTTTCTATCCCTATTGTTCTGTGCTACCAAGGACCTAAGGCGATTACCATTACTATAACTATATCTACGCTAAAACAGTGGTCAGTGAATAGTGCTTATTATTTTGATTGTAAGGTGTGAACTGCATTGTGTCAATTATCATATTATTATTTTAACAAAACATTACAGCTTAATCTCGTTTAAATTAATACGATTATTCTTCAAAACGTTTGAATCGATTTGTTAATTAACTTAATCAATAACCACCAACTTCAAGTTACTTCAAGTCCTTTCATTGGACTTATATTTCTATTTGAAAGTGTGACCACACCCATCGAAAATAGGCCTATCCGATACTGCAGTCATGGACATGATGATTTCCAATCTGCAACAGCAGCGGCAGATAACAGAACAGCTTCGTCGAGAAGCAGCTGTGAAACGTATACCCGTTTCACAAGCTATACAGGATATTATAAAGTATATCAGGGAAAGAGAATTGGAAGATTGTCTTATGGTTGGTTTTTCGTCGCAGAAAGCTAATCCATTCAGAGAGAAAAGTAGTTGTGCAGTTATTTAAACTATGTATTATTTAAAAGTTAAAACTTATCAGTTTATATTGAAAGTTTAAAGGAAACAAAAATATACAATTTTTACTATACCCACTGTATTAACGAGTTATGAGTTTGATCAATTATAATTATTTTAACTTCTCTATTACAATTTTTTTTTTGCTTAGTTAAGTACCAGTGAAAATGTCTATCTCATATAATATGTATAATCTGATTCATTTTTTTAAGTAATAAAATGTTTGTATGACAAATAATATTTTTAGTTTGTACCTTTCATTTGTGTTTAGTTTTTGTGGACCAGAGTAAAATACCAACTACTTAAGTTATTTTGATTGATTCATTGAGTCATATTCATACATCAAATTATACTAGTAATAAGTAGATAACTGTACAAAAGTGAAGAAAGTAAACTTTCTTGGTTAAATTAATTGAAGAGAAAATCATAAAATGTCGGTAAAAAAAATAGATAGGTACTCTAAATTCTTAATAAAATGTTAATAAAACAATCTTTTTCAAAAACGTTTTAATGAAGATTAATTCCAATGATACAAATAATAATTCCAAATAACCACGCTAAAAATAAATATTGAAAACAATTAAAGACAAATATTGGAATATATAATCATATTCGTTAACAGTAAGTTATCTCCAAAAACAATCAAAATCTGTATTAGTAACAATTTTTGAAATCTATTAATTTTAGAAGCTAATTAAGTAATGAAATACAACAAGTTACCTACTTTTTATTAATATTAAACGAAACTTTATACTTATTTGTTTTTATTGCTTCTACAATATGTCTAAAAATTCATTTAATATAAAACACAATTTAAAAATAAAATATAACGTATTCTAAGTAAAAATTGATTATTTGGTGATTCCAATAACTCCACAAGCAATTCTGGCTCCAGCATTTCCTGTAGTTGCACTTAATTCATGTCCTCCTTTACCTAAATCATCTTCGTCAGCATGAACCTATAAAGAAATATTTTTTATTATAAATAAAATGTTAGTACATTGATTGAATTAAGTAAACGTAATATCAGTGTTATGCTAAAAATAATCATATACATTTTATAATTTCCTAATTTCTATGAATTATTCTCAAAATGAACACATAATCATTGAAGTGCATAATTAGTTCTTTTGCTTATTTTAAAAAATTTAAAAAGTACTTACAACTAAAGTACGACCTATAATATTGAGAGGTCCCGTAAGCGATATGATTGGGTCATTGAAATTTATGTTTGTCACCGATGAACCAGGAGCTTCAATATTACCTAAGTCACCAACATGTCTCACACCATCATCAGGAGCTCCATGGGTTTTTCCAAAAGGATTAAAATGTGGACCCGAGCTCATACAACCTAAAAAAAAATATAATAATATATCATTTATCAGGATTTAAGACTTAATTATATTTATATATTAAAGATAGGAATAAGAATAATTTAAATTAACTGATATGGGATCATAATGATACTCATGGGTTAATATAAAAATGATGTATTTTCCATTATATTTTATTGATTTTAAATTGAATATAGTCATGTCTATGAGGACACACCAGACGATTAAATGAAAAACCAGAAACCAATATTTACTAGTTGAAAACTGAAGGTTTATCGAATAGGTATTTCTAAGATGGGTCGCTAGTAATTAAAAAGAAGACAAATGCAAATAGTTGTATTTAACTGGAAACAACTAATCAATTTTGCTTAATCTAGCTCTAGGACTGCAAAAACTCCAATATGACAACATGTACAATCTTTTGATTTGCACACTGAATTCCGCGGTGATCAACGGATTGAGCACACATTATTGAGAAGTAAATTAATGATAAAATAATATGAATCTCTTAATTTTATGCCGATAAAAATATATATGATACATGTTCTATTTGCCCCTCTCTCTTTTAGAACGACACTGCGTAGTCAGAACAACATGACAAAATATGATAAGCTAAATTAAAAGGTTAGAACATTTTGTAAATTATTTTCAAATATATTGTGTAACTTACCATTAGTATTATCACCAAATTCGTGTATATGAAATCCATGGCGGCCTTTAGATAGTCCAGTTATTTCACCAGTTACTTCAACCGGGGCTTTATCGTCCTAAAAAATTTAATTAAATAATAAATACGATTAACAAGAACAACTTTTGTATCTGCATTGTAATTATGTAGGTACTTACAGTTTGTGAGAAAAAAATGGTACCCTTGACATTTTCACCGTTCAAAACACAGACGGCTTTAACCATTTTTTAAAAATTACTTTTTCGGGTACGTTCCACAATATTGCTCAACTCACACGTTAAAAGGTTCGTAATAAAAAGTAAATTGTATGCGATTTTATTCAGTAAATATTATGGCCTAATGAATAATGATTAAATTACAGAGTGTGTGAGACTTTTCAACGTGAGTACGTGACCTCGAGTATGTAATTATGAGACTTGAAACACGGTCACGGAATGTACGATAATTATTAATATAACTATGGAAGAATTGAAAAATATCAAAACAAAATAAACTAACTTGAAATAATGAAAAATGTATTCTCCCGGCTTGTTGTATCTAATATCTATGGGTATCGGGTTGTATACTTTAATGTCATTATAAATATGAAGTTCATAACGACATTACGACAATATAACCAGTGTGTTTTAAAGTCCGAGCGTTCCTAAAATGCTTAGATCGTATTCATGTACGATCGACATCTAATATTCTAATCTAAAAATAGTAAAATTTAATAGGTTTCAAGTAATTTATGGTGTTATTTAATGTTTAACAATTTTTTTAAATGATAAATATTAAATCTTCAAGAAATTATAATATGTATGTAGTATTGTAGTGCGTACCATGTGATAGAATGATTTAACAATATTGCCTATGGTTTATTTTAATATTTATACGCTAATGAATAGTTAGGGTATGATATTTTAGGTAATCGGAAAAAAAGCAAACTTTACATTTTTTTTTTTCAAAAAAATTTAATAACTCGAGATATTTCCAATATTTTACTTAATCAATAAAATATACTTGGTTATTATGTAGCTTAGCCCTTCCCCCTTTTCACTATCTTCTCTCCCATTAAAAGGTTTTATTTCATTTATTGATTATTTTGTTTAACCATTTCTTAATAAATAATAAATATGCCATTTGACATTTATAGCAAACTATTTTAAGAATAGAAGCAAAAAATGTAAAATTAATTTAAAATCGTGCCCGAAGAAGCACATGACTTGATGGAATCATCTTTGATCAAACATACGTAAATGAAACATACATAATTATTGGCGGAGGAAATACATTAAAATTCCGAAAAGTACCAAGTCTTTTTCCACCTGAAATTTGGAATGTACACGAAAGTACATAACATAACATCGAGCTTACAAATAACTAAACCGAAGGTTTCAATGATAGATTTTCGAAGTTGGTAAGCTATGAACTCTATAGACCTATAAAGAAATCTTTAAAAATCTATGATAAATTTGGAACCTCATAAAGAAAATGAGTTGCAGTTGATGAGACAAAACCCCAGCAACGGTTATTAGTTATTGCTTATCAATTATCAGTTATCACTTATCAGCACTATCCAACAAAAAAAAAAACTTAAGAAGTATGAAAAAATGCAATTTAATTTAAAAAAAAAAAAATTATAAAAGTATAGAGATATGCTACGTGATGTACCGATTTTATTATTTGGTAGGTATATCTCATACTACAAGGTTTACATTATAAATTATATTATGATAAATGTATGTTATATAATTATTGATGCAATATGCATTTAATTCTATATTTTATTTTAACTTATGAGCTATACATTTTTTAAAATTTTACCAACAATAAACGTGACTTATACCTAATATAATGTTTTACTTATTATTTTTACTAATGCCCTATTTACTACCCTACTTATTGTGTTTATATTTCTAAATAATATTTTATATTTGGAATCATTACGTAATATATTTTGAAATTAATTAATTTTTGCAAAGTAGAATATATTATTTTAAGTCTGTGGTGTTAAGAAAAAAATTAACTATACTGCATATTGCCCTATTAGTTTTTGCTATACTTATACCTGAACCTAAGTCTTTTTTTATTTTATTTTTTTTCCTCGTGCTTTTATTTCATTTATTTTTTTTTCAATTGCCTTATTTCCTAGATTCTTGATTCATATACCAGCTATTTCATATTTAATACCATAAACTTTTGTTTAATGTTCATCATTTAAGAAGACGTGGCACCAGCAAGTGTTACAAGTGCTCACCTAACATAACAAATTTTACTCTCAGTAGATCACGTTTGGCTCCGTTAGTTAGAAAATTAGTGGATTGACCCATCATAAAATTAAAGATAAGATGATTATCATTTTAATATTTACAAACAATTTATAATTGCAAAATAATCATAAGTCGCTTTAAAATTAAAATATAATAAAAACCCTGAGTTGCCCTACATGGGTACCTAATAATTATACCTACCTTTTATACCTACCCATTGCATAACTCATTAATATACTCATTAATTTTTAAACCAACTTTAGTCAATAGTCAATGAACCAAACATCTATTATTATGATCGTACAGAATAATAGATTTTAGAATCAAGTTTAATTTTGCCCCCCCCTCCTTTGAAAGTTCCTTATGGGTGGTCATGTAGTGAGCTAATGGTCCCCTAAACATAGTGACCCATGATTAGTCCATTAAATTTTATTGAACCCAGCATAAGGCATAACCTATAGTTATAGCACATAATCTTTTCTGTGGTTAAAGTACTACTCTATGGTATTAAGTAGAGAGCTTAGAATCTAGATTATCAAGTGTATGATCTAGAGAGCCTTAATAATATAAGGTTAAGGCTCTCTATAAATAGTGTGATCTATCCTTGATAAAATAACATGTTAAAAGTTGAACACATAGACATAATATAATTATGTATAATATCATTGAACAAGAAGTAATTAATGTAAAGTAACAGCTGTTTATTTTGTTATCTTTTATCAGTCCTAAACTTAAAACCGGTTCAAAATATTCAATTATTTTATTGATTATTTATGTCGATTTTTTTCCGAGTTGTTTTAAATGTTGATATTTTTGGTGTATAAGGTATTAATCTAATTTACTTATATGTTAATTTCAACAGTTAATTTACATCTAGAGTTGACCTGCATTGTAAAGCGTGTCATTAATAACCTCGAGGAGGTAATAATTATTTGATTTACATTTTATTAGTAATCCACTGCTAATTAGCTTTTAGGAATAATATTTTCTAAACATTGTAAATAGTTTTTACAAACCCGAAAAAAAAGAGTCCCAGGTCACTTTATAAAGTTACTGAAAATAATATTTTAATGGTTTTTGGGATGTTAAAAGATTCAATTTAAACAACATACCTACCAATTTTAGTTATTATAGAATCTTATACCAACCACCAATTTTAGATACTATAGAATCTAATACTTACTGCAGTCACATTTAATACAACTAAAATTACAAACTTGTCTAGCATTCTATTTCATATAATCCAAATCTCTACACATTATCTATTATAGGTTTTTTTTTGATATCTCATATGAATTCTAGGTTCTACTATCATTGTTCATGTAATACTTAACCACAGTATAAAGAATACTATGATTTAATAGTAGTACAAACATACATGCTAAAGAGGTCCCGTAAATACCATAATGGCATTGGTAGGACACTATTCATATATATAAATTTGTCTTCATATTATAAAGCATGTTTTAGTGTAGGTAGGTGAAAATGGTTTTTTTTTCTTTGTGATTTAATAATATTGATGCCAATCATTCATAACATTTTATGATCAAATCACTTAAGCGCTCTTAACAATCACAATTCTAGGTACTTCTGGTTTGATAAATCTTTTTTTATTAAATTTTTTCTTCTAATGGTAATTTTTGACTATTTATTAATTTTTTGTATATTATTCCATTGTTCATTAGTGATATGCTGTAACTTATAACTAGTATTAAAAAGATGCCAGGAAAAGTAAAGGTACGTGTATTGGCTGGCCGAAATTTGCCAGTCATGGATCGGTCAAGTGATACTACTGATGCTTACGTTGAAGTCAAGCTCGGAAGCACAACATACAAGACTGATGTTTGTAGGAAGTCATTAAATCCTCAATGGAATTCTGACTGGTATAAATTTGAAGTGAGTATCATATGATTACAAATTCTTAGTTTAAAAAGTACTTTTTAATTTAAATCTGTTTATGATATCAGTTGGATGATATAGAACTTCAAGATGAACCTCTTCAAATTAGAATTATGGATCATGATACATATTCAGCTAATGATGCAATTGGAAAAGTATACTTTAATTTAAATCCATTACTTTTACCACAACCAACAGTTGTCCAATTATCAGGTCAACAAATTTTAGCAGATACTTTGATTTCAAACCAAAGTCAGACAACAGGTACAAATTATACATACCCAATACCTTTAGTGCATAAGATATTTTTCTTAAAAATATGTGTTGTTTTAGGGGGATCTGTAGTATCTGGATGGTTTCCTGTTTTTGATACAATGCATGGTATTCGAGGTGAAGTACATATCATTATAAAAGTAGAACTATTTTCAGACTTTAATAGATTTCGTCAATCTTCATGTGGAATTCAATTTTTTTACTGTTAGTACCTATATATTTGTGATTAATATATTTGTGATATTGTTTTTAAATTGGATTTCTATTTAATAGCTGGAGCTGGAATAACAGCACATACAGAATGGGTGCATGGCTTTGTTGAAGAATTAGTAGTTGAAGATGATCCTGAATATCAGTGGCTAGATAAAATTCGTACACCCCGTGCTACTAATGAAGCGCGACAAACTATATTTTTAAAGCTTTCTAATGAAGTACAGAGACGTATAGGATTAAAGGTTTTAGAGCTTGGAGCAAATGCTGTAATTGGGTAAGTTCTTTTACTTTACTCATGTTGAAAATTGCAATGAATATTTTAAAATTAAATGTATCTGACTCATTAAATATATTATGGGGGCTGAAAATCTTAACATCCAGGTAATTTAATATTTAGGATTCCCAATGTAATGCTTAATTAGCTATTAAATAATAGTTTTTAACACTAAGACTGAATCACAAAGATGGTTTTATTTGCACTTAATGAGTTATTTAATTTACACCAAATGCAACCATCTCTAATGGGTACCTACCCAAAATAATGGAGTTTTACTATTTACTGTACAAAGATAATGTACTATTTAAAAATTTTGTTGATAATTAAATATACAAATAAATACCGAATATTAATACATGTTTATTGAGTAAAAATATGTAAAAATAATATCTTATAAAATCATTTAGGTAGGTAAAACCTATATTTTTTTTTTTAGCTATAATCAATATTTTGATTTGGAAGGAGAATCTGGGATTGTTGTTCGTGGCATTGGAACTGCAGTAACATTAGTGCGACATTTGACATTACCATCAGTAAATTTAAATTTACAGCCAACAATTGACGAGTAAGTACATTATTTTTGAATTATAATTAAAATTTTTTAATATT